TTGTGCCCACTAATTTTTTGGCATTTTAATTTCTCACAACAGAAGAGACTGGAAAAGCTCAGAAATTCTTTGTATTTATTTATTTTGGAGACAAGGTCTTGCGGTATCACCAGGGCTGAAGTGCGGTGGTGACACGATCATAGCGCACTGCAGCCTTCACCTCCTGGGTTTAAGGGATCCTCCCACCTCAGCCTCCTGAGTAGCTGGGACCGCAGGTGCAAGCCACCATGCCCCACTAATTTTTACAAATTAGTTTTAGTAAACATGAGGTCAGGCTGGTCTTGAACTCCTGGGCTCAAGCCATCCTGCTTTGGCCTCCCAAAGTGCTGGGATTTCAGGCATGAGCCACACACCTCGATTACTTTTTAACTCACTGCAACCTCCTCCTCCCTGGTTCAAGAAATTCTCCTGCCTCAGCCTCCTGAGTAACTGGGACTACATGTGCTTGCTGTCACACCCAGGTAAGTTTTTGTATTTTAGTAGAGATGAGGTTTTACCATGTTAGCCAGGCTGGTCTCCTGAGCTCAGGCAATTTGCCTGCCTCAGCCTCCCAAAGTGCTAGGATTGTAGGTGTGAACCACTGCGTCTGGCCCACAAAACTGTTCTACAATGCTGTCATTTATTGCTAAGTTACTGTGTATGCATGTTATTTTTATGTGTAAGGTGACAACCCACAAGATTCCCTAGATATGTGTCTGTTTTCTCTAATTCACTTATAAACATGACCTGAAACAAAAAATTAACCTCACAAAAACCACTTTATGACAAGGGCATTCAATGCCTTCAGTGGTAAACACTACCAGCAGGGTACTGCTCTTTGCTTAACTTTTTTTTTTTTTTTTTTGAGATGGAGTCTTGCTCTGTTACCCAGGCTGGAGTGCAGTGGTTCGATCTTGGCTCACTGCAACCTCTCCCTCATGAGTTTAAGCCATTCTCCTGTCTCAGCTTCCTGAGTAGCTGGAATTATAGGTGCACACCACCACGTCCAGCTAATTTTTGTATTATTAGTAGAGACAGGGTTTCACCATGTTGGTCAGGCTGATCTTGAATTCCTGACCTCATGATCCACCCGCCTCAGCCTCCCAAAGTGTTGATATTACAGGTGTGAGCCACCGCACCCAGAGCTTAACAGTTTTAATCATTCCAGCAACAGATTTGGGATTAATCTGCCCTTTTTTTTTTTTTTTTTTTTTGAGATGGAATCTTGCTCTATTGCCCAGGCTGGAGTGCAATGGTGCAATCTTGGCTTACTACAACCTCCACCTCCTGGGTTCAAGCCATTCTCCTGCCTCAGCCTCCCCAGTAGCTGGGACTACAGGCACACACCACCATGCCCAGCTAATTTTTGTATTTTTAGTCGAAATGGGGTTTCTCCTTGTTGGTCAGGCTGGTCTTGAACTCCTGACCTCAGGTGATCCACCCACCTCGGCCTCCCAAAGTGCTGGGATTACAGGTGTGAGCCACAATGCCTGGCCCTCTGCTTCTTATGATGGACATTACTGTATTCTATTAATAGTTTTAGGACCACATTGGAAAAGTCAGTCTTTCTAATGAAGAGGATCAAGTGAACAATTCCTGTTAAGAGAAACTCAAATAAAAAAAGAAGGCTGGTCTGAGTGCAGTGGTGTTTACAACTAATTGATCACAACCAGTTACAGATTTCCTTGTTCCTTCTCCACTCCCACTGCTTCACTTGACTAGCCTTAAAAAAATAAAAAATAAGAAACAAAAAAAAAAAATAAGAAAAAATTAACAAAAAGAAAATTACATGCCAGGGATTTTTAAAAATTAAAGAAAAAGAAAAAAAATGGAACTCAATATGATTTTGTCTGTAGTATTTGGAGCTGACGCTATCCACTTATCCACTATCCTAGGTCATCTTGGGTTCTATAGGTATCAAAATGTTCTTTTGGGCTGGGCATGGTGGCTCACACCTGTAATCCCAGCACTTTGGGAGGCCGAGGCAGGCAGATCACATGAGGTCAGGAGTTCAAGACCAGCCTGGCCAACATAGTGAAACCCTATCTCTACTAAAAATACAAAAAAATTAGCCGGGTGTGGAGGCAGGTGCCTGTAATCCCATCTACTCAGGAGGCTGAGGCAGGAGAATTGCTTGAATTTGGGAGGTGGAGGTTGCAGTGAGCCGAGATTGAGCCACTGTACTCCAGCCTGGGCTCCCAACACTTGTAATCTCAGTGCTTTGGGAGGCTGAGGTGGAAGGTTGCTTGAGCTCAGAAGTTCAAGGTTACAGTGAGCCATGATTACACTACTGTATTCTAGCCTGGGGGATAGCAAGATTTGGTCTCTTAAAAGAAAAAAAAACAAACAAACTGGAATCCATATGTTACTTTTATTAATATAATCAGAAAAAAATCATTTTGAAAGAAAACATATAATTTTTTTTTGAGATGAAGTCTTACTCTGTCACCCAGGCTGGAGGGTAGTGGCACAATCTTGAGTCACTGCAACCTCTGCCTCCTGGTTTCAAGGGATCCTCCTGCCTCAGCCTCCCGAGTGGCTGGGATTACAGGCATGTGCCACTACGCCCAGCTAATTTTTGTATTTTTAGTGGAGACAGGGTTTAACCATGTTGGCCAGGCTGGTCTCCAACTCCTGACCTCAAGTGTTCCACCCGTTTTAGCCTCAAAATGCTGGGATTACAGGTGTGAACCACAGAACCCAGCCAAGAAACCAGCCTGGCCAACATGGTGAAACCCCGTCTCTACTACAAATACAAAAATTAGCCAGGCGTGGTGGCATGTGCCTATAGTCCCAGCTACCCAGGAGGCTGAGGCAGAATCGCTTGAACCCAGGAGGCAGAGGTTGCAGTGAGCTGAGATCTCACCACTACACTCCAGCCTGGGTGACAAAGCAAGACTCCGTCTCAAAAAAAAAAAAAAAAAAAAAAAAAAGGAAAAAAAAAGAAATGGATCAGAAACAAGGACTTTATGAAAGAAAAAAAAAAAAGGAATAATGGAAATCCATCATACACTTTGCCAACTTCCCCACAATTTTGCAAAATTATATAGTAACCAGAATATTTACATTGAAACAATCCATTGATCTTATTCGGATTTCCTTTTACTTGTACTCATATTTGTATGTGTTTACATAGTTTTTGCACATGTCTGAGTCTTAACCTAATTCCTTTTCTTTGTTGAGACAGGGTCTTACTCTGTAGCCCAGGCTGGAGTGCAGTGGCACAATCTCTGGTCACTGTAACCTCTTTCTTCTGGGCTCAAGCAATCCTTCCTCCTTGACCTCCTAAACGTCTGGGATTAAAGGTCTGAGGCACCATGTGTGGCCCAGATTTCTTTGAAAGGGCTAATTCCTCCATTATCTTTGTCAACACTACCCTTGGGTTTTGTTTAGTTTATCCCTCTGTAAGTCAAGATTGTTTCATACTTTTCAAATAGTTTCTGACATTTAAATATTTCATCTATTTGAACTTAATTTTGGTGTAAGGTATGAAGAGATTTATCTGATTTTTTTCCTAAATGGATTAGACCCAATATAACTTACTGATATCACCAAGTAGTTGATTAGGTTATTGAAATAGTTGTTAAAGGAAGGTACCATTAAAAAAAAAATGTACATGCATATTTACTGATCAAGTATGGTGGAGATGAAGAACTTAATACTCATGTATAAAATCCCAGGGAAAAGTCTTATTAGCCTTAATTAGGTCATAATGCCTATCTCTTGGACCTATCACCATGGCCAGAAGCTGTAAGTTCTGTCAGAATATGACTGAAATGCTTCTGAAAGGGAAGTGAAGACTGTATTTTAGAATAAGTAGAAGGGTGTAGTGTGCATTTTAAAAAAGGCATTCTATGGGTTGCAATGTTTGGAACATTTTATTGAAGTACAAAATTGTTGGAATTTAGCTAATAGAAAAACATAGTAAATATTTACAAAAACACTGATAACATCACTCAAGTCACACACAGGTAACAATGTAGACAGGTCTTTAAAAAGTTACAAATTGAAATTACGGAGATATGAATCTAATCACTCATTGCTGAGCATGGTTATCAATATAACATTTAACATCTTGGAGCATATGTCCCCAGTCTTCTGCAATCCAGTGCCCTTTAGAAATTGGTTGCTCTCTTAGGGAGATTCAGACTCAGGGGCAGCCAGAGGGGACAGTTAAGAGCTGAAATCATCACATAACTGGTTTAATTTTCTTCATTCTATTGATTGTGTCAAGTTACAGACACAGTCAAAGTGTTTTTCTTTAGTCTCTGATGATGTGAGAAGATGAAGAACGTGAACAATTTCTCATTGCCTGAACAAAAATTTGACACATCAAGAGGCTGAGTGTGGAGTATCTGTACTAGAACCATAAAGTTCTGAGGGTAAATTATGCATAAAACTAAGATAAAACAGAGAATTAACTGTGCTCTATCTCATATTTACTAAAAGTAGGAAAGGACGCAGAGTGACATTTTTAAATCAAACTGCTCTAGTTTTAGCTTAATGGATGGTTAATAAACACACTGCTTTATGCTGAAGTGACCACATAACTATTTCTAGAGTTCAGAAGAACTTAAAATCAGGTTTTAAACAAAAGAAAGCAGGCTCGAACACAAAACACAGAACAATTTCCTGGTCAATATTTAGACAGTACTATAAAAAGCTAAACGGGCCGGGCGCAGGGGCTCACGCCTGTAATCCTAGCACTTTGGGAGGTGAGGCAGGTGGATCACCTGAGGTCAGGAGTTTGAGACCAGCCTGGCTAACGTGGTGAAACTCTGTCTCTACTAATACAAAAACTAGGCGTGGTGGTATGCCTGTAGTCCCAGATACTTGGGAGGCTGAGGCAGGTGAATTGCTTGAACCCAGGAGGTTGAGGTTGCTGTGAGCCAAGATCACGCCACTGCACGCCAGCCTGGGTGACAGAGTGAGACTCCATCTCAAAAACAAAACAAAACAAACAAAAAAGCTAAAGGATACTTGGGCTCTACTCACTTCATTTTGATGGTCTTGTACTGAAAACACCTTCCCCAAGCTAAATTCAGAGGGGAGAAAGTTAACAGCTTCAGGTAACTTTAAAACCAGTCTTGGGCTCAATAAGATAACTACTTAAAATAATTGCCTCACATTTTAAAACAGATCATCTTCATCTGACTCTTCCAGGTATGTTATAGGTTTCTTTGCCCGTCCAGATTTTGCCCGAGGAGCCGGAGCTGAATCAAAATCCATATGGAAGTCATCACTCTCCCCCTTGGATTTCTAAAAGAGGAAAGCCCAGGTAATTTGTACAACATAAATCTGACAACATAACTGCAATGTAAAAAAAACTTATCAAGACTACATTCAAGGAGTTTTCTACTTTCTATCAAGTAATAAGAAGCAGATCTAAGGCCAACTCTTCCATTGCCCAAGTAAGTGGCATATTTAACTTTGTTAAAACTAAATATTACGGTAAAAGCTAATGAGTCAATTTTCTTAAAGACTTGCCAAATTATTAAGAGCAAGGGCTTAGTTATGTCCTTCAGAATATCTACAGCAAAAGGACTGACTAGGATTAACACTCACCTTGCTTGTGACTGCTTTAGAAACAATTTTCTCAAAATTAGAGTCAGAATCATCAGAAGTGGATGGCTTCCTTTTGCGGCGATTCTTGGTTTTCACAGGATCAGGCTTTTGAGAGACACCAGAATTCAAGGCTGGATCCTTTTTAGTTCCTTTTGGGGCAGCTCTTTTTTTGGCACCAGTAGTGGTGGTGGAAGACTGACCTGCAATTCAACACAGGCATTTATCACAGCTGCTTTTTTTTTTTTTTTTTTTGAGATGGCGTCTCACTCTGTCGCCCAGACTGGAGTGCAATGGAGCGATCTTGGTTCACTGCAACCTTCACCTCCTGGGTTCAAGTGATTATCCTGCCTCAACCTCCTAAGTAGCTGGGATTATAGGAGCAGACCACCATGCCCAGCTAATTTTTCATATTTTTAGTAGAGATGGGGTTTCACCATGTTGGTCAAGCTGGTCTCAAACTCCTGACCTCAGGTGATCCACCTGCCTTGGGCTCCCAAAGTGCTGGCATTACAGGCATTATTAGTCACCCTGCCTGGCCTAGTCACAGCCACTCTTAGATGGATTGTTCTCATTGTGAACTTTATTCAGCAATGTGATGACTGTGTATGTTTAACAGGAAAATACAATCTAAGAGAGCTGAAAATATTAGAAAATCGAAGTATTCTTAAACATTCAATTTTTTTTTTTTTTTTTTTTAGACAGAGTCTTGTTCTGTCTCACCCAGGCTGGAATGCAATGGCGAGATCTTAGCTCACTGCAGCCTCTGCCTCCTGGGTTCAAGTGATTCTCCTGTCTCAGCCCCCCGAGTAGCTGGAACTACAGGCATGTGCCACCTCACCTGGCTAATTCTGTATTATTATATTTTTGAGATGCAGTTTCACTCTTGTTGCCCAGGCTGGAGTGCAATGGCGCGATCTCGGCTCACTGCAACCTCCACCTCCTGGGTTCAAGCGATTCTCCTGACTCAGCCTCCCCAGTAGCTGGGATTACAGGCTCACGTTACCATGCCCAGCTATTTTTGTATTTTTTAGTAGAGATGGGAGTTTCTCCATTTTGGTCAGACTGGTGTCGTCGAATTCCCAGCCTCAGGTGATACACCTGCCTTGGCCTCCCAAAGTGCTGGGATTACAGGCATGAACCACCGTACCCAGCCACACCCAATCTTAAACATTCAATTTTTTTTTGAGACGGAGTTTTGCACTTGTTACCCAGGCTGGAGTGCAATGGCACTATCTCGGCTCATTGCAACCTCCGCCCCCTGGGTTCAAGCAATTCTCCTGTCTCAGCCTCCCGAGTAGCGGGGACTACAGGCACATGCCACCATGCCCAGCTAATTTTTGTATTTTTAGTAGAGATGGGGTTTCACTTTGTTGACCAGGATGGTCTCGATCTCTTGACCTTGTGATCCACTGCCTTGGCCTCCCAAAGTGCTGGGATTAAAGGCGTGAGCCACCACGCCCAGCCAAACATTCAATTTTAAGATTATGTTTCAGGCCAGGCATGGTGGCTCATGCCTATAATCCCAACACTTTGGGAGGTCAAGGCGGCTGGATCACCTGAGGTCAGGAGTTTGAGACCAGCCTGACCAACATGAAGATACTCTGTCTCTACTTAAAAAAAAAAAAAAAAAAAAAAAAAAAAAAAAAAAAAATTAGCCAGGCATGGTGGTGCAAACCTGTAGTTCCAGCTACTCAGGAGGCTGAGGCAGAAGAATTGCATGAACCCAAATGGCAGAGGTTGAAGTGAGCCGGAATCGAGCCATTACACTCTAGTCTGGGCAACAAGAGCAAAAAGAGCAAAACTCCATCTTAAAATATATATATGTTTCATATTAAACATTTGCAACTGCTTATAAATCCTAACCTTGTCATAGAAATGAACTAGATAAAGCCTGACATTGAGAGAAACGTGCTGATATTAAACCTTTGGACTACCTTATTTTGAAGACAGGATCTCTCTCACTTAGGCTGGAGAGCAGTGGCTTGATCATAGCTGATTTCAGCCTTGAACTACTGGCCTCAAGCGATCCTCTTGCTTTAGCTTCCCAAAGTGCTGAGATTACAGGCATGAGCCACTGTGCCTAGCTTTTGTTTTCTGACTAATCAAGTGCAGTAGTGAGAAGGGGGAAAACAGTAGAACAAGGAGTTTGATATGTAACTGAATGAACAATCATTAGAGATGACTTACTATTTTGGACCAGCCTTGACTACTAATTTTGATTATAAAGATCTAAAAGAAATTGTTTCCATTTGGAAAAGGTTTAATTTGTAATATCAATAGTAAATTTTGGCAATAAAAAATTGAAACTGACTTGTGGAAACCAGTTAGTTAATTTCAACATTAATTCATCTCAAAGATTTAGGCTTACTTTTTGCTGCTGTCTTCTTCACTGTCACATTCTTTTTAGGAACTGGGTTTGTAATTTCAGTTTCATCTGGGAAATGTGTAGCAGGAGGGCTTGAAGACAGTGGTACGCTATCCTTAGCATCATCACCTTCAAGGTCTATTATTTCAAATGGAAAGGAAAATAGTACATTTAACCAACACATGAAAATCCATTTTCTGCTTTGTCCCTGCTATGAATTCCTAGTGAAACACCAAATATGTGACTTTTTTGGAATATTTAAAACATACTCTTAAACTTTTTCTAATTTCTAAATTTTTTATCAGCAAGAACAGTTTTTTTTGTGTCTCTAGCACCAAGCAAAGTACCTGGCAAACACTGTAATTAGTTTTAGTATATTGAATGCAGAACCTATTTATATGTGAAACTAAACAATATCAACATAATGTTAATAAGAACTCAAATTTATTTCCAAAGGAAGTACTTGGACAATGCAGCCAGGATTAGAACCCAGTTGGATCTGAGTATCCCAGTAAAGCAGATGTCTCAATACTTTTACTTAAATACATACCTGACGTGGCACTTTTCTGTGGTTTCGGTTCTTTGTTATTAAGTCTAGAATTAAAAAATATATATATATCCTGACAACCAATTCTAAATGCGTTAAGCAAAAAATAATATATTAGAAACAATCATGACAAAACCCGTATTAGATAAGATACTTACTTTGGGGAAGTTTTGGTTTTAGGTGGACTAGCATCTGATGGGACAAAATCTTCATCCTGAGTTTTTTCATCAAAATCGGAGAAATCTTCATCTGAATCCAAATCCACTGTGAATTTGGTTTTTGCTAGTAAAAACATACATATATTAAAAAATTAGACGGTAGTAGGAGAAGCTTTTAATTTATAGGTCGATATAACATTTCATGAATATTTTAGTTTTTAATCTCCTGAAAGATGCTTCAGTGTTTCAAAGCTTTAGCATAATTTATTGCTCTATTAAGATATAGTAATTTTGGGGGCAAAGTACCCTGAGGTATATTGGCCATTCAACTCCTACAGCATATCTAAAATGCTCTTTTAGTTTTCCTTACTTGCTGCTCTCCGTGGCTCTGTTTCTCGTGGAGGGACATCAAAATTACTTTCGTCACTACTCCTGTCTGATTCTGAATCAGACCAGGGATTTCTCTTCTTTCCTTTTTTGATTGGCTTAAATGGCAATGTAGTTTGTTTCTTTGTCTTTGTACCTAGATGGGAGATAGAAATTAATCACCTTTATGTATTCTTAGATTCACTTTTCTCCATCTGTCATCCATCCATCCTTCAAATTTATTGACTGCTGTGACAGTTCTGAGAATACAATGATGAAAAGAAACAGACATGATCCCTGTTTTTGTGGAGCATATAGCTTGGTCACTTAATCTCATAAACAAATACAATGTGGCCAGGGCACAGTGGCTCATGCCTGTAATCCCAGCACTTTGGGAGGCTGAGGTGGGAGGATTACTTGATGCCAGGGGTTTGAGATCAGCTGGGGCAAGATGTAAGACCCCATCTTAGCTGGGTGCGGTGGCTCACACCTGTAATCTCAGCACTTTGGGAGGGTGAGGTAGGTAGATCACTTGGGCTCAGGAGCTCAAGACCAGCCTGGACAACATGGTAAAACCCCATCTCTACAAAAAATACAGAAATTAGCGGGTATGGTGGAGTGTGCCTGTGGTTCCAGCCACTAGGGAGGCTGAGGCAGGAGGACTGTTTGAGCCTAGGAGATTGAGGCTATAGTGAGCTGTGATCATGCCACTATACTCCAGCCTGGGAGACAGAGTGAGATCTTGTCTCAAAAAAAGAAAAAAAAGGACTGTTCTCTACAAAAAAGTTTTAGAAATTAGCCAGTCATGGTAGTGAGCGCTACTCCCAGCTACTTGGGAGACTGAAATAGAAGGATTGCTTGAGCCAGGATTTCAATACCAGCCTGGGCAACAGAGTGAGACCCTGTCTCAAGAAAAGTATATACTCAAGGACAGAGATCTTAACATTTATAATCAATTGATTTCTGACAAGGGTGAAGACAAACATTGTGGAAATAAGTCTTTTTAACATATGGTACTGAAATATGAAATAATTGGATATCAGGCCGGGCGCGGTGGCTCAAGCCTGTAATCCCAGCACTTTGGGAGGCCGAGGCGGGTGGATCACGAGGTCGAGAGATCGAGACCAACCTGGTCAACATGGTGAAACCCCGTCTCTACTAAAAATACAAAAAATTAGCTGGGCATGGTGGTGCGTGCCTATAATCCCAGCTACTCAGGAGGCTGAGGCAGGAGAATTGCCTGAACCCAGGAGGCGGAGGTTGCGGTGAGCCGAGATCGCGCCATTGCACTCCAGCCTGGGTAACAAGAGCGAAACTCCGTCTCAAAAAATAAAAAAAAAAAATAAAACAAATAATTGGATATCTACATGCAAGGGAATCAGGTTGGACACCTTCCGCATACCACATACAAAAACTAATTTAAAGTGGATCATGGACCCAAATCTAAGAGCTAAATCTATAAAATGCCTAGAATAAAACACAGAGGCCTACCTTCATGACTTTCAGTTTAACAAAAGATTAGATATGACACCAAAAGCATAAGCAATAACAAAAAAATAGGTAACCTGGACTTCATAAGAATTAAAAATTTGTGCTTCAAAAAACATCATCAAGGCTGGGTGCAGTGGCTCATGCTTGTAATCCCAACAGTATGGGAGGCTGATACCAACCACTTCATACACACTAGAATGGCTAGAATCAAAGAGAAAGACGACAAATGCTGGTGAGGAAGTGGAGAAACAGGAATCCTCATACACTGCTGGTGGGAATGCAAAATGGTGCAGCTGCTTTAGAAAACAGTCCAGCAGTTCCTTAAAAAGTTAAACAGAATAATTATATGACTCAACTATTCTACTCCTAAGTATCTACCCAAGAGAAATGAAAACTTAAGTTCACATGAAACCTTGCACAGTACATAAATGCTCACAGTATTAATCACAATCATCAAAAAGTAGAAACAGGCCGGGTAGAGTGGCTCACACCTGTAATCCCAGCACTTTGGGAGGCCAAGGCAGGCGGATCACCCAAGGTGAGGAGCTTGAGACCAGCCTGGAAAACATGGCAAAACCCCATCTCCACTAAAAATGCAAAAAAATTAGCCAGGCATGGTGGCAGATGCCTGTAATCCCAGCTACTTAGGAGGCTGAGGCAGGAAAATCACTTGAACCTGGGAGGCAGAGGTTGCGGCAAGCTGAGATTGTGCCCCTGCACTCCAGCCTGGAGTACAGACGGAGACAGACTCCGTCTCAATTAAAAAAGAAACAAAAAAAACCCCATCAACTGACGAACAGATAAAATGTGGCATAGCCATACAATGAAATACGATTTAGCAATAAAAAAGAATGAAGTACTGGCTGGGCGCGGTGGCTCAAGCCTGTAATCCCAGCACTTTAGGAGGCCGAGGCGGGTGGATCACGAGGTCAAGAGATCGAGACCATCCTGGTCAACACGGTGAAACCCCGTCTCTACTAAAAATACAAAAAAAAAATTAGCTGGGCATGGTGGCGCGTGCCTATAATCCCAGCTACTCAGGAGGCTGAAGCAGGAGAATTGCCTGAACTCAGGAGGCGGAGGTTGCGGTGAGCCGAGATCGTGCCATTGCACTCCAGCCTGGGTAACAAGAGCGAAACTCCGTCTCAAAAAAAAAAAAAAAAAAAAAGAATTAAGTACTGCTGGGCTCAGTGGCTTGTACCTGTAATCCCAGCACTTTGGGAGGCCGAGGTGGGTGGATCACTTGAGGTCAGGAGTTTGAGACCAGCCCGGCCAACATGGTAAAACGCTGTTTCTACTAAAAATACAAAAATTAGTTGGGCGTGGTGGTACAGGCCTGTAATCCCAGGTACTCAAGAGAATCACCTCAACCTAGCAGGCAGAGGTTGCAGTGAGCCAAGATCTTGCTACTACTGCATGCCAGCCTGGGTGACAGAGCAAGAGTCTGTCTCAACAAAACAAAACAACAACAAAAAATGAATACATGGGGTACTACATGGGTTACCATTGAAAATATTGTGCTAAGTGAAAGAAGTCAACTCCAAGAGACATGTTATAGATTACATTTATAGGAAATGTCCAGAATAGGAAAATCTAAAGATAGATTTTTTTAGTTGTTGCCTAGTGGGGAGAAGAGTTGGTGGCAAATGGCAAGTGATGGTTAATGAGTACAATTTTCTTAGGGGGTGACAAATTGTACTAACTCTGTGATTATACTAAAACCACTCAAGGGTATACTTTATATTTTTTTTTTTTTTTTGAGTTGGAGTCTCGCTCTGTCGCCCAGGCTGGAGTGTAATGCCAGTCTTGGTTCTCTGCAACCTGTCTCCTGGGTCCAAATGATTCCTGACCTCAAGTGATCTTCCTGCCTCAGCCTCTCAAAGTGCTGGAATTACAGGCATGAGCCATGGTGCCCAGACAAATGTTATATGTTAAATGGACAAATTTGGTATGTGAATATCTCAATAAAGATGTTTTTAAAAAGGTAGATAGTACAGTCGTTATCAAATGATTAACAGAATTGTTAATTCTATTTAGTTCACTGAGTGAACATTACCTTTATTACCTATATGTTGTACTCTAGAGATACTATACTACAAACATGACTAACATGTAGTCCCTTTCCTTAAGAAACTATATACTAGAACCTCATAATTGGCTAGAAAAGGAAATCTAATAAACTGAGTGTTTCCTTACATCCAGTTAAGGAGTTCAAATTAACAAACTATTTCATTATAAAATATTTTCTAAAATGAAGCAAATTCCAAGGACAATGTTAAAGAGGTCCAAGTAGAATTCAGATACAGTTTTCTTTCAGGTTTCTCAATTCAATTCAACAAAAAGGTTTTGAACATTTATGTGGAACGTCCCAGGTAAGAAACATAATTTAATCTTCACTTTATACCATTTTCCTTAAAATGCTTTAATACCTGGTTCTCTTTTCTGTTTCTTTTCTAATCTTTGTTTTAGGCCTTCTAATTCCATACCATCTTCTTGAGGGCTTCCTTCAGTATTTTCATTCTAAAAGATAGCAAGATGAAAATGATTAATTTTTGCCAACTTATTTGAAAGATACAGTCAAATATATAAATATATAGTCGAAATATAAATAGAGTCAAAGAGTGCTTTTTTCTTTGGGGTTTAGGTTAACAGCTCTGAATAAAGGTACAGGTATGACTTAAGTGCTGGGATTATAGGCATGAGCCACCACAAGAGTATTACCTTAATTTTCTTTTTACTTTTCTTTTCTGCATCTGCTTTCATTTCTATAGTTATTCGTGGAATGACTCTTTGACCAGATGGAGAAGGCAAAACTTCAGCCATTTGTGCTTTTTTCCCCTTTGCTTTCCCTCCTTTCCCAGGAAGTCCAACTTGCTCATCTTGTTTTTCCTTGGCTTCAACAGCCTATAGAAGGGATATAAAAAAGCAAATTTATATGCTAACAAAAACATTACAACATCTGAAAGGCCACAGTTAAGCTGATTTCCATTTGTTATATCTTAAAAACTTGTGATAAATTGTTCTATAACCTAGTATACTATCAACGATAGTGAAGATGTAATTACGGTACACCTTGAAAAGGAAGGCGTGGAGACAGAAGACTGGGTTTTATTCCTGATTCTACCACTTAACCTTTTTGAGGAAAACAAGGGAGAAATTAAGAATAAAACATGTATATACATATATATGTATAAACTCACATATAAAATATGAAAGGAAATGATGCACACTTATCCAATCAAGTGATTAAAATGAGCTAGGCATCTATACTGAAGTGCAACAATATAAATTTGCATGTTAAATTTAAGAAATAAGGTGTTTTGTTTTTTTAAAGAGACAGAGTTATGCTCTATCACCCAGGCTGGAGTACATGGGTAAATGATCATAGTTCACTGCAGCCTTGAAGTCCTGTTCTTCAGTGACCCTCCCATCTTGGCCTCCAGAGTAGCTGAGACTATAGGCCCATACCACCATGCCTGGCTATTTTTAAAAAAAATTTTGGAAAGATGAGGTGTTGCTATGTTGTCCAGGCTGGTCTTGAACTCCTAATCTCAAGTGATCCTCCTGCTTCAGCTTCCCATAACACATTGGAATTACATGCGTGAGCCACCACACCCAGTGGCTTTGTCCTTTTTTTTTTTTTTTTTTTTTGAGATGGAGTTTTGCTCTTGTTGCCAAGGCTAAAGTACAATGGTGCAATTTTGGCTCACTGCAACCTCCACCTCCAAGGTTCAAGAGATTTTCCTGCCTCATCCTCCTGAGTAGCTGGGATTATAGGCGCCCGCCACCATGCCTGGGTAATTTTTTGTATTTTGAGTACAGATGGGGTTTCACTGTGTTGAACAGGCTGGTCTTGAATTTCTGATCTCAGGTGATCTACCTGCCTCAGCCTCCCAAAGTGTTGGGATTAAAGGCACGAACCACTACGTCTGGCAGCAGCTTTGTCCTTTTCAGTTGACTTGGGGGACTGGGTTGGTGGTCTTCCACATTTAAGTGCAATTCTGCCCCAGACTCCTGAGTAGTTAGTACTACAGGCGCATACCAATATGCCTGGCTAATTTTTGTGTTTTTAGTAGAGACAGGATTTCACCATGTTGGCGAGGCTGGTCTTGAACTCCTGACCTCAAGTGATGCGCCCATTTCAGCCTCCCAAAATGCTGAAATTATCAGCATGAGCCACTGCACCTGGCCAATGATCTGTTCTTTTATACATTATTTTGGATTTATCCTTATGCCTCTTATTTTCTTTCTATTGCCAATTGTGAACTATCTTGACAAAGGTATACTGCCGGAATATATTATTTCATTAATAAAAATTCTAGCATGAGCATTATAAACTACACACCTCCAGTTCTTCAATAAATGCAGCCAAGTCTTCTTTCCACAAATCTGATGGACTCTTTCTCTTCAATGTGTCCAGCTCTTGTTCCTTCATAATTTCAAAATTGAGTTAATATATGTACACAAGCAGCATTTTCATGCAACACATAATTTTTACTTTTACCATTAGAACAAAACTAAGCAGCATGTACCATCCTACCACCAACTCACTTTTTCATTTCTTAGTCTGCACAGTTCATCTTTCTTTTCCTTGGTTAGATACCAAAGGGGCATATCAAGAAGATAGTTGAAGGTTGGTCCAGAATCTGTTACGGAGTCACTCTTTTCACTTTCCTTTTCGTTGTCACTCTCTTCATTTTCTTCTTCATCTGGAACCTAAAGGATGAAACAAAATGTAGCCTTATTAGAAAATGTGAAACATAAGCATTATTTAATACATAGTCTTTAACAATATAGAAAAGTGCCAACAAAGATTACCTTTTGCTGGGCTTCTTTCCAAGCCTTCACAGGATCTGAATCATATCCCCTCTGAATCAGAACTTTAATTAATTCTTTCTTAGGCTTATTTTCTATTAAAAAAAAAAGTAGAGATAATGATTTTGAGTAATATTTTAGGAAAGGGATAAGGTTTTACCAGTCAAAAGTTTAAAACTGGAAATTAAACTTAGTCTTGCACAAATTTGTACATCTGGGTATACAGATGAGTATTCCTAAACCACTGACAAATGTAAATTACCACAAGGGGGCAGTCAAATCATACATGAGGCTATGATCAAATTTTTTTTTTTTTTTTTTGAGACAGGGACTCTCACTTTTGTGCCGAGGCTGGAGTGCAGTGGCACTATTTAGGCTTACTGCAGCCTTAACCTCCCTAGCTCAACAGCTCAAGTGCTGGGATTACAGGTGTGAGCCGCCACACCCAGACAGTATAAGCCACTTATAATCTTCCTGCTTTTTTTCCCATCAGACGTACTCTTTTATTTTCTGTTCCTGTAGCATGATTAGTGTACTATTATTCTCTTATCAATCAGTTTATGCAAGATTTTCTAGCTTTCTATTCTCCTCATGTCTAAGTGTCAACTAAATCTTGATTTCTCAAGATGCTCAATCAAGGAAACACCATCTCTTTCAAACTATAAATATCGAATCAGATATTTAAAAGAAATCTTTGTATAAGTGCCCAGGTGAATTAAATGGATTCTGCCTCTCTCTCTACCATTATTCTCACCAAAAATGTTTAAAGAAAGTTTGACATAACTAGGGTTTTAGTAAGCAGTTATTATTCCCAAAACATACCAATGATTATTTTGCCATCTATTTTCTCTAAGATAAAGCGAGCCTGATTATTCAGTTTGGCAGACTCAGCACCAAGCATTCCTAGGAGCCATTCTTTTCTTAATCCGTAATATTTAAGTCTGAGTTCAAAGAAGTCTCTTAGAATATCCAACACCGTGTCATATTTCTTTAAACAGCCTACGTGGTCAAAAAGCACCTGGAAAAGGAAAACAAGATTAGAGCCAAGAATAGACAAATTGGCTAAACTTTATAAAGGTAGACTAAGATATACTTTTAAAATTGATAATAATTTTTTTCTTTTTGAGATGGAGTCTTGCTCCGTTGCCCATGCTGAAGTGCAGTAGCACGATCTTGGCTCACTGCAACTTCTACCTCCTGAGTTCAAGTGATTCTCCTGCCTCAGTCTTTCACGCAGCTTGGACTACAGGTACGAGCCACCACACCTAGCTAATTTTTGTATTTTTAGTAGAGATGGGGTTTCATCATATTGGCCAGGCTGGTCTTGAACTCCTGACCTCGTGATCCACCCACCTCGGCCTCCCAAAGTGCTGGGATTACAGGCATGAGCCACATATTAATCATTAATATAAATTGAAACATATGTACATCTCGCAAAACAAATACATACCATAGAGTTGCATGTGAGACTAGTTTGGAGTTTGAAGACTTTGTGTAGCCCAACTCTCTCTGCCTCTGCCAGTTTTTCTTCGGTCATCTTCACAACAAATTTCACAGTGGTATCTGTATGGTATTCCCTATAGTCGGTTATGAGAGGAGGTGTCTTCTCAGTGCCATTCAACATAGGCTCTAGAACTTGTTCTTTGTATGTCTAAAGAAAGAAATAATCCTGAAGTTTCTAAAACATAGGCTCCTGAATAGTCAAAAGCAGTAGTACAAAAAGTGTTTCTTTTAATCACAAAACTAAAAAAGAAATCCACAATTATTTACCTGGGTCCATGTTCTGACGGGAAGCTCTGAGATTTCAATGGTTGTGGAATTAAGAATAGCCACTTCACCACTAATCACATATTGATTTGGAGCCAGTTCTTCAATAGTACCCTTGAAGTTCTTGTAACTTGGAAGCTAAATTGGCATTTTAAAAAACAATGTTTTTCTAAACGTTATACTAGACAGAAATCACAACAGCAGGTAACAATAAATCTAAGTATAAAGTATGAAATTAAATTTTATGTTTGCATCCTCTTTAATCATACAGTCTACTCAATTGAAACCCAAGGAAAAGTAAAGCTCTTATAACACACACAGAATACTTACCATTGGCAAAGGTTCTTCTCCATCCATCAAACGCCTGATGTTATTTACAACTTCACGAACATCAAAGTTGGGGATTTTGCAGGACCACCCAGTACCGATTCCTTCAGCACCATTTATTAGCACCATGGGAATAATAGGAATGTACCATTCAGGCTCAACACGCTGGTTGTCATCATATAAAAACTTCAATGTGTGATCATCTTTTGGTGGAAATAACAACCGAGTCAAAGAGCTAAAGAAAAGAATCAAATAATGTTATTTTATAAAAATACTGAATTTGGTACAACTTTTATGAAAAGGACATATGTTATCTCATACTTATACATGAAAATTATCTTGGTTTTACTTGCTGACTAATACTCATTTAATAATATTTATTGAGCACTTTCTATGTGTTAGGCACATAACGTCTCAATTCTCAAGGAGCTCACATTCCAGTAGAGATTTGATAGTGAACATACATTTTGTTAGGTGGTAGGCTAAATACTGAGAAGAAAAAGTAAGAAAGTGACTGAAGAGGTACGAAGGAAAGTTATGCCTTTTCTGATAAGATTACATTTGAGCAGAGAAAAGAAATTGAGGGACGGGTCAGGCTTGGTAGCTTGAGCATGTAATCCCAGCACTTTGGGAGGCTAAGGTAGGGGGATCACCTGAGGAAAGGAGTTCAAGACCAGCTTGGCCAGCATAGTGAAACCCAGTCTCTACTAAAAATATAAAATTAGCTGGCAGTGGTGGTGTGCACCTGTAATCCCAGGTACATGGGAGGCTTAGGCAGGAGAATCGCTTGAATCTGGGAGGTGGAGGTTGCAGTGAGCTGAGATCATGCCAGTCTAGGCAAAAAGAGCAAAACTCCTCAAAAATGAAAAAAGAAAGAAACTGAGGGACTGAGCCATATGGATATTCTAGAGAAGGAGTGTTGCAGGCAAAGGAACCAGTAAGTAAAAGGCCCTGAAGAGGAAATGTACTTAGTGTATTTGAATATAGGCTGAGGATAGTGTGGCTGAAGAAGAAATAGTATGAGAAGGAATCAAAAGATATGGAAGGTGGGGGCATGGATCACATGTCTGGTTAGCTAAAAGAGGTCTTTAGATTTTACTCTGAGCAATTGAAGGTTCTGAATCAGAGTGACTTATTTTTACTTTTTTTGAGATGGAGTCTCACCCTGTGTCACCCAGGCTGGAGTGCAATGATGTGATCTTGGCTGACTGCAACCTCTGCCTCCCAGGTTCAAGCAATTCTCCTGCCTCAGCCTCCCAAGTAGGTGGGATTACAGGTGTGCACCACCACGTCCAGCTGATTTTTTTATATCTTTAGTAGAGGCAGGTTTTCACCAGGTTGGCCAGGCTGGTCTTGAACTCCAGACCTTGTGATCTGCCCACCTTGGCCTCCCAAAGTGCTGGAATTATAGGCATGAACCACTGTGCCCAGCTGGAGTGACTTATTTTTTTAAAAAAACAATTGGCTGTTATAAGACAAGACAGATGGTAGATTATATTGCAGTAGTTTAGATGAGATGGGGGTGGCTTAGTATTTTTCCAGTGCAGAGTCCATAAAATTTGCTGAGGAACTGAATGTAAGTGTCAAGCAAAGGAGTCAAGGGTGACAAGGATTTTAGCCTGAGCAATTAGAAGGATGGCATTTCATTTACTGAGACAGGAAAACTAAGGATTTGGTTTTAGATACTTATGTCTGAGATACTTAACTAGATATCTGAGTGGGAAATGTTGAGAGGGCAGTCAGACATAAAAGTTGAGAGTTCAGGGGAGAGACCAGGACTGGAAATTTAAAGGTATAGACCAGATAATGTGAGATTATTTGGGAACTGAGTGTAGAAAGTAGAAAGAGATCTGATGAAGGAACCCTAGGATGAACCAGTATTTAGAAGTTGGGAAGGTGAGAAGGACCCAGCAAAGAAAGCTAATAAGGAAGAAGAGAACCAGAGAAGTCTACTGTCATAGAGGCCAAATAAAGAGTTTCAAGGGTGGAGCAATTAGTAACTGTGTTGAATACCACTGAAAAGGTGACAGCTGAAAATTGACCATTCATAATGTACTCTCCATAGTTTTGTAAAGAAGTAAAATTTCAATTGTGATATTTAGAAGAATCAAAGTCTTCTTTACTCAGTCCCAAACTCTACATCAGGGTTTCTCAATCTTAGCATAACTGACATGTTGCACTGGATAATTCTTCGTTTATGAGGGGGCTTTCCTGTGTATGTTAGGGTATTTATAAGCCTCACCCCGGGCTTTGCCCACTAGAAGCCAGTATTTTCTGATAAATGGAGTTTTTGTATTATTAGTCAACTAAAACTCACATTGTTTCAAAACTGGAGGCAATTCACCAGAAAGTGAAAGCATACCTACCTGAGCATTGTGAAGATATATCGTGGACTAGCAGAATCCTTGCCACCATGTAGCCTGGTACCAAACTGACCAATGGGCTGCAAGAGGTTCAGATTATTGCTGCCCACAAAATTCTGAGCCAAATTGATAATGGTCATCATTAGTGACATCTGTGGGGAAAAAAAGATTTATTAAGCTGAGGCTTTTACTAATACAAATACATTATTATGACCAAACTTCACTATTATCTTGTAACATTTTGTGAGGTTTAGTTGTATAGTGACTTTCTTCAAGTTAATAGACGGCAGAAGTAGTACTTGAACCTAAGACTTTTAGCTCAAGTTCAGGGCTCTTGCCTTCCAATAATTCTATCTATTAAACCCCACTCAACTTTGAAGGCAGAGTTCCTCTCCTTATCCTCAGCAAAATGAAATATTTCATCCTTTGTGTTACAATGCTTTGCTCATTTCTATTCTAGCATGTATCACTTTATTCTATAGCTGTATATATATATTGGTCTTCTGATTAAATTGTTACTATACCTTGGAGATAAGAAACATATTATTTTTATTTATTTCTATATACCTGGTACGTGGCAGGCATTCAACAAATGTTTGTCGGGTGAACATTTATTGTATCCCCACTATATTTTGATTGAAAGCAACAAAACAACAATTGTATTTAAATTTCTAGAAACTTGTAGGCAATCCAGTTCTTTAGAACTGTTTTACATAATTAATGCAAAAAGCAATCACAAAATAAAAAAGGAATATCTGTTGGTGTTGGTGTAAAGTCAAACAATTCAGATATATATAAAAATTGAAAGTTGCCCTTTCTAATTCCCAGGGATAACTAAAGTGAACAATTTAGAGCATATTCTTGTAGACATTTTTAGTTATTGTTCTGCCTCTGTTTTTTCTCACCTGACAATAGACCATTGTTATTTCTCAGTGTCAGCGCACACAGTTTTACTGAAATTATAGCACTGATTCCATGCATATATGTGTCACAATTTATTATAACAATTTGCCAATCAGTGGAGGTCTAAATCTTGACATCACAAAGTTACAACAAACATGCTAACTATCTTTTTTTTTTTTGAGACGGAGTTTCGCTCTTGTTACCCAGGCTGGAGTGCAATGGCGCGATCTCGGCTCACTGCAACCTCCGCCTCCTGGGTTCAGGCAATTCTCCTGCCTCAGCTTCCTGAGTAGCTGGGATTACAGGCACGCGCCACCATGCCCAGCTAATTTTTTTTTTGTATTTTTAGTAGAGACGGGGTTTCAACGTGTTGACCAGGATGGTCTCGATCTCTCGACCTTGTGATCCACCCGCCTCGGCCTCCCAAAGTGCTGGGATTACAGGCTTGAGCCATCGCGCCCGGCCATGCTAACTATCTTTTAATGTAGACCTCTGCAGATTTGAGTATCACTGCAGGAATATTATTTTCAGAAATCAAAGGGCAAGCAGTTTTATTGATTGATAGCTTTTACTAACTTGTTCTTTACTATGAATATATGAGCTTATACTTTCACCAAATCTATTTTGAGACTGACTATGCAGGTATTTCTGAAGATATGCTTTCTGGAAACATGGATTGTGTGTTTACCTCACCATGATGATAAGAAGACATTTCAGCGACTGATCCAGCTAATTGGGCAACCTTTACTTCTCGCTTGTCATTCCGTTTGAAGCAAGTAAACAAAACCTTTCTCTGACCTGGTTTCAAACCTTTAAAATGAAATAAGGGCAAACATAAGTATCCTCAATTTATCCATTTTTGGGAATTTGATTTCCATCTTATAATAAAAACAGACTAACAAAGTGGAACTCACCATCCACCATAGAAGGGATAGATCTCTCATTATCAGAATTTGAGAACAGGATAAGTTCCTTGTTGATGAAGTCATTATATGTCAGATACGTGGTAGTCTGTCCATACAAGTAATCCTGAGGGACCAAACAGTATTACATAAGACCAATGCTTAACAATGCTCAACACAAAAATCAAACAAAGAAACCTTTAGAATTATTATTTCTATAATTAAGTCTTTATAAAATATAGAACAATACAAAAGTATATGTTTCAAAGATAAAGCAAATTTAACTGCTGCACAATTCTATAATTTCAAATTTTTACTAAAATAACTATTCATTAAGTTTCATTTGCTGTATTATCAATACCAAAAGGTCAGTTAAACAGTCCATTTTGTGGGATATATTTAACACTTTTACCTCAGGAAGCCCATCTCTCTCCCCCTCTTCTTTTTTTTTTTTTTTTTTTTTTTTTTTTTTTTTTTTTTTTTTTTTTTTTTTTTTTTTTTTTTTTTTTTTTTTTTTTTTTTTTTTTTTTTTTTTTTTTTTTTTTTTTTTTTTTTTTTTTTGTTTTTTTTTTTTTTTTTTTTTTTTTTTTTTTTTTTTTTTTTTTTTTTTTTTTTTTTTTTTTTTTTTTTTTTTTTTTTTTTTTTTTTTGTTTTTTTTTTTTTTTTTTTTTTTTTTTTTTTTTTTTTTTTTTTTTTCTTTTTTTTTTTTTGTTTTTTTTTTTTTTTTTTTTTTCTTTTTTTTTTTTTCTTTTTTTTTTTTTTTTTTTTTTTTTTTTTTTTTTTTTTTTTTTTTTTTTTTTTTTTGTTTTTTTTTTTTTTTTTTTTTTTTTTTTTTCTTTTTTTTTTTTTTTTTTTTTTTTTTCTTTTTTTTTTTTTTTTTTTTTTTTTTTTTTTTTTTTTTTTTTTTTTTTTTTTTTTTTTTTTTTTTTTTTTTTTTTTTTTTTTTTTTTTT